ATCATGGACAGGGTCAGGGAAAAAGTCAAGGACAGGGACAGAGTCAGAATCAGGGACAAGATCAAGGACAGGGACAAAGTCAGGGACAGAATCGGGGACAGAGACAAGGTCAGGGACAGGGAAAGGGACAGGGATAAGGTCAGGGACAAGGTCAGGATCGTGGACAGGGTCAGAGACAAAGTCAAGAACGGGGACAGGATCAGGGACAGGGAAAGGGACAAGGTCAGGGAAAAGGTGAGGGACAAGGTCTGGATCAGGGACAGGGATAAGTCAGGGACAAAGAAAGAGAGACAGGATCAGGGACAAGGACAAGATCAGGGACTGGGTCAGGATCAGGGGCAAAGGCAAGGACAGGGACAGGGACAAAGTCAGGGACACCCTTCAGGGTCAGGACAACAAACCCAACCCACACATTCACCAAAAATAGAAATAATCCACAGGAATTTTCCCTCATTGCCCTTTTTTCTCTCTCTCAGCCACTTTTCCCTAATCCAAGTGCTGCTGGTTTTCCATCCAGGGCTCAAGGATAGAAACAAAAATCCCAATTTACGGATTTTAGCTCATTTTTGCTGCCAGCTGGGTTTGGGCTTTGGGGCTTTACCGAGTTTATTTTATTTGACTTTATGTTTTTTAGAGCTTGTTCAGTGCTGATCCTCTGCTCCCGAGCTGGCACCAGCCAAGGAATGTCACTGGAGATAGGAGAAACTCAGGAATTGCCTGGCAGGGGGATGGCAGCTTAAATTTCTTGGGGTGGCAGAGGGTCAGGAATCGGGGGAAAAAACGTAAAAAAATTTAAAAACAACATATATTTTCTAAAAAAAGCACCATCTGGGCCAAATTTTCACTGCCCTGGGATTGCAGGATACAGGGAGATATTCCTGGGATCTGCTGTGGGAGGAGCTGGAGCCCTCCAGCAGCACAACTGGGATATTCCCGTGGAGGAGCAGCTCCAGCTGGGTGGGAATCCCAGAGGAATTGTGGATGCTCCATCCTTGGAAGTGTCCAAGGCCAGGCTGGATGGGGCTTAGAGCAACCAGGGACAGTGGGGTGGGATGGGATGGGATGGGATAAATGGGATGGGATAAATGGGATGGGATGGGATGGGATGGGATAAATGGGATGGGATGGGATGGGATGGGATAAATGGGATGGGATGGGATGGGATGGGATGGGATGGGATAAATGAGATGGGATGGGGTGGGATGGGATAAATGGGATGGGATGGGATGGGATAAATGGGATGGGATGGGATAAATGGGATGGGATGGGATAAATGGGATGGGATAAATGGGATGGGATGGGATAAATGGGATGGGATGGGATAGGATGGGATAAATGGGATGGGATGGGATAAATGGGATGGGATGGGATGGGATAAATGGGATGGGATGGGATGGGATAAATGGGATGGGATGATCTCCAGCACCTTTCTAACCCAACCCATCCCATGATTCCATGGGATTTGAGGCTTCCCCGTGTTATTTGCTCTCTGTTTTGGGGGGAAAAACGTTTAAAAAAACCGTTCAGGTTCAGGGGAACCTGAACACTCCCACGAGAGAGAGAGACTGGGTACCTGTCAGCCTGAAGAGGTTTTTTTTTTTCCTGGACTGAATTGAGGGAGAAAGCTTAAAGGGACTGAGAGAAGTGCATAATATCATATATATAGTTGCTTTTAGCTTGTACAGCAAAATAAATGTATACATAATTCCCCTTTCCCCTAGAGAAGCCTCTTGGCTGAAAGTTTCCCTTCGGCACTGCCACGGTTTGAGAGCCCCAACCACGACAGGCACCGAGATAAAACTGTGGGAAGGGGTGGGGGGAAAGCTGGAAAATGGGATTTTGGGGATTTTTGTGGGGGGGCTCAAACCACCCCACACACACACACACAGAGACTGTGGACAGGGACTCTGAGGTACCTTGAGGAAGATGGTCTGGAGCTTCCCGCAGTGGGAGCCGCAGCAGTCGGGGATGTTTCGGGAGAAGAGGACGCGGTGGGCGGGGACCCGGGCGTAGGCGACGCGTCTGTCCCCCTGCAGCAGCCAGATCACGATGTCCGGGAGGCTGTTCTGGGGCTGGGAGACAGCAACAGTGTCCAACGGGAAGGGATCATGGAATCACAGAATCATAGAATCCCAGAATCCCAGAATCATAGAATTGATGCCTGCTCAGTTGGTGCTTAGAAAAAAATCCCAGAGCCGTTAGTTGGGGTGAGATAAGGAAAGGGTTTAATAGTGCCAAGGCAAGAGATGTTACATGACTGTTCTGGTTTGGAGCTGGCTCCCTGCCAAGTCTCCAAACCTTACCACAAGGAGTCCCCCCCCCGCCCCCACCCCAAACCAAGGGAGGAGAGGAAAGAAAAAAAACCCAAAAGAACCGAAAACGAGAGAGTAATGTATATAAATGTAATGTATATAAATATACAAAGTAATGTATATAAATATATTTACACTTATATTTACAGCTGAAATATATATATATAATTTCACAGGGAAAAGGGAAAGGGGAAGGGAAGAACAAAAACCAAAATAATATATATATATATTATATAAAAATATATATATTTGTATA